TACCACTACCACTACCAATACCACTACCACTACCACTACTACTACTACTACTACTACTACTACTACTACTACTAATTAGGACGTTGGAGTATGTCCTTGACTTGCAGAGCGGAGTATTTTTGTTGATCCTGTGTGTTGATCCGTGAATGTTTAAGTTTTTCGGTCCTTTTTTTTAGCCGGGTGCCGACTTCTGAGGCCTGAAACCCCTTTGCTTCCACCCCTGTGGCAGAACTAGAAGGTATGGGTCATATACTGCATGTCCGTCAAGCTGAGATCCGAAGTCATAGCCTGCCCTGGGACGGTACCCTGAACGCCAAGCCCCCACTCTGCCCCGAACTGCCCGAACCCTAAACCGACATGCCAAGCCTGACTGGACAAGACTTTTCATCTGCAGCCCTCAGGCGCCAAATGCCGGGACGGCAGCCCTAGAAGCGGCAAAGGACAGTGCTGGGACATTGGAGCTTGGCCTTAGGGACCTAAACAGCGCATAATGTGGGAATAGCGAATAGTTATAGAATTCTCACTCGACTTCTACCTTGGAAGAGTAGCTATACTATCATGCACCCCAAAGCCATGCTGTTATGTGAGAGGCTCATACTTTGAGCATAGACTACTGACACCTGCCCACTTATAGAGACAGAACGTGGAAGCAGTCCATGGCTTGGCCCTAAAGCTCTACTAGGCCTGTCCCGAAAAACCATTCAACCCAAAACCCTACCTAAAGCCTCAACCCTAATTAAGCCGAAGCACAGAAGAGCAAACACTAATTCTAAGGGATTTAAGCTGTGCAGAGCTCTAATTGGGGCTTCTGGGCTTTGGAGGTCGGAACTGTTGAAACCTCGGCGCGGGTGGGAGTGTGCGTATGTGTCTAGGCTGTATTGGAAGATACTGGAAGTCAAGATCCCAGATTCGCGGCATCGCGCAGCTACGTTCTTCATACGGTGAGTTGATCTGCACAGCATGTCCGCTGCAAGTCAACATATCTTGCTGTCTGGTGGCTGTAGGAAGTGACAATACACCCCGATGGGATACGCGACGTATGCTCTCACATACTCAGAGTAAACAAAGTCGCGGCACGATATCCGGTAACCTATCTCGGAGTAGACATTTTGAGGCCTCGGCAGCTTTGCGGACCAGTTTGCTTTCATTTCGGCTAGGTGCCCTGCGTCCTATAAACTCTACACAGCTACATCCCCAAACGACCAACCTTATCAAACCTTAAAGCTCTCGTTCCTCGAGGAGCTGCGCGGCACGCCCGTTTTCGCTGAGGTGCTTTGCAACCCCGAGGATTTGGAATGTGCGAGGTTCGGCGTTGAAAGCCCCATGCCTGTTCTGGGGTTGCATGGTTTAGTACAGGTGCGACGGGCTGCAAGCAGCGACTAAACTTCTCGTAAGTGCAATATGGACCCAACCAGCGCACCAATCCTCGCAAGTTCAAAGCAACAGAAGGACACGGTCGAATCGGGGAAAAACAAGTCGAAGGCAGAAGCAGCAGTGGCAATCCTGCACTCGAGGTAATCCCCAAATAATATCACTAGATGACGGCGTGTGGGTGTTGCTTGGGCGGATAGCGTCACAGATACGTTGGGAAGGTCATGTCCTCATCCAGCTTCTGTTTGGTTGAGGGATGGCGCGGAATTCCGATGTCTCCCTAGAAACACTCAGGGTTTTTCTGGACTTCCTTTCGAAGGCGACATTGGAAGTTGACCGCCCTTGGCAGCCAGGTACAGCGCGTGTCCACACTTTACGACTCTGCGCGCGCAACGCTTCAGCCGACGAGGTGCCATTTCTGGTGTGGCGGGGTGGTGTTAAAGAAAAGGGGTCTGGCCGCAGTCCTGGCAGTGTACTATGGGCTACAATTCGAGCAATGGCATGCCCTGCGGCAAATGGGGTGAACACAGAAGTTATAGGTCGCAAGGTGTTCAGCAAGGAACAGTAGCGGCCTGCTTGCCCAGGTTCAAGCAAGTTTGGGCGAGGCCCGATGCAGCCGCTGCGTCAGCAAGAGAATCTGACGATAGTGGTGGTGGCCTGAAAACTTAGCAATACTGACATGCACACAAAAAATGGGAAATAGTCCATGAAATACTTTGCAATGTCACACACACACACACATATACCTTTACGTATATACTCATACATACATATGTGTATATATATATATATAAGTATATGTACACCCACACCCTTACGATCCCCCAAAGCCTGTTTGGTGATCCTTTGCGATGATGTCATCAGGGATAACCATCGTTACCACCGACCCCTGCAAATGCCTTCATTCTAATTCTGATGTGGCGGTTTTGACTGGTAGGTCGAGTCGGGTTCATCCGGCTTGTTGCGTCTATGGAACAGATGTTCCCTGAGAGCATCCCTAAGGCCCCTTAAATCGACCCTATATTGCGAAAGCATAAACCGTATCAGCCCTAAACCGGTATTGTGTATGCGACAATATCTACCCCTTATGTAAACCCTGACACCATACGTCCTACGAGCCGCTTTCAGGAGTTCTACGTCCGGTCGGCGCCGGGTGCTTCGTGGTTTGAGTACAAGGCCTGCAGTAATCTCAACATGCCAACATCTTTGGAAGCACAAGGGGCACCCCCAAAATGGCAACTTGTTACCGTCTTAGTTCTGACACCCAAATCTGCACGCCTTCTGCCTCCACATGTTAACTGTGAAGAATACAGACGTGAATAGCCTCTATGTAACGGCAAGGCTGACTTGGGAGGCAACACCTCGTGGCTCGAACTTGAGACTTGCTTCTCTCCGCTGAAGAAATAGTCCATCGAAGAAAAACACTTCTTTCTTCTTTAAGGCAGGGACAAGAATCTGATGTGATTAGGTTCCACTTAGCTCACGACGTTACATGTCGATGCGGAGCGGCACTCCGTGCCCTGCTTAGCTCTGAATACTGGTGAGTCGTATCTAGGGCATCCGTAGCCGAGGAGTTAGGAGAGGGAGTACTGTCTCAGCAATGCGAAACAGTATGGCAGACAATTATGCTTCAAAGTTCTACCAACTGCATTTTTACGCTTCATATTCCCACACATATACTTCAACAGCTGCACATAACACCAAATTCTGGTGTCAAGTCATATCATGAAAGACTAGTCCTTCCAGTCAGTGTCCAGTCTAAAAGGGCTCGCCGATATATGCAGATCTTGAGCTTGTACAGTAATAGTTTGGCCCAGGGATGGCCTCAAACACCAAAGCTCCGGCTCAGATCGTGGCTCAGATCGATCACCCACTTGTGAATTGCATGGCGCCATTGTCACTCGGATGAGCTTCAAGGAGGTTGTTAATGTTGAAAAGACGATGGCTCAGTGCCTCAGCCTCATCGTTGCCATCCGGTAACCTTTGGCGAGGAGACATGCTATCGCAAAGAAATGCCAGAGGTCCCATCAGGCAGCAGGATAGAGCAAAGACTCCAAGCACCAAGCCTCATACCCACCTGCCACTGCGCCATGTTGCTTTCGATATCGACTCTCGCTTCACAAGCTGAGAGCCACAATCTTTTTGTCGCTGCTCATCAAAGTCGCCCACTAGTAACTCTGGTAATTACGGAACGCGTAGGGTCCTAATGCCGCCCGTGTGCGGAGCCCGAAATTCCATGCATGTGTATGTGAGAAATACATACCCACACATAACCTATATATATATGTAGAGAGAGAGAGGAGGCTGTGGGGCCTGCGTTGTTGCAAACCCATTCTTTTAAAGGATTAGGGATATGTTTAGGGAGGGAACTGTTGTGAGGGCCCACGTTTTGTTACAAGATTGGTTGGTTGGCGCCTGCGTTTTTGCAGATCCTTTTTGTATCATATCTATATTCGAACATCTTCAAATAGTTCTAAGGTACGCGCAGCATTACACTACGAAGTAGCGTTCACCTATTCCTGCGTAATGTATTCAAGGTCAGGTTTAGCCTGTGCATAGTCAGACGTCAACGGGTACGACGCCACGGTATAGATTGGCTACATGTTCAATCTTCTTCCCACAACAACTGTCACAGGCAGGACTCCTCGTAAATACCGTGTATTCTTTACTTGATCAAACCAAGTCTCGGGGCAGGCCGCATCGAGCCGACACGTCCCTCACGGAGCCATATATCTCTTATCTATTCAAGACTTTGCATCCTATCAGGCCAATCCACCCAAGACTAGAACTCAAAGCATGATCTGCTTTGGCATGCAATGTTGAGAACATGTACGTACTGACTTAGCGCATTTTTTGCCAAGCGCGTAGGATTGAAAAACAGGTGTTTAGACCAGTGCTTCGTTTCTGAATGTCAGCAAATGTGAGTAAGTTGAATATATGGCCATGGTTAAGAAGTTTATTACTTGTCGGAGCTGACTCAGATCCTGTTTGTGCGCATGTTCATGTCCTGCTAGCTGCGATAGGCCTTATAGCTTCGGTTATTACCCACAGTCTACAATCCAAAATACCATGTACCTGGATAAGTATGAATGCGGACATCTGGGCTCATGGGGCAGCTGCGGCTGAAGCCGCATCCTCGCTAGGGAATGATAAAGCTCCAAAATCCTGGTGCTCCAGGCCCTGGCATGATCTTGCGCGGCCTCCATCTCCACAAGTATGCGTATCAGAAGCCTTTTGGGTTTGATATAAAATCCCTTCATATCCTTCTGGTCCTCTGTTATGGTCCATAATTGTGGCGAAGGCCTCCATCTCCAAGTATCCGTATCAGAAATCCTTTTGGTTTGATGTACAATCCCTTCATATCCCTCTGGTCCTGTACTATGGTTATAACGGTGGCGAGGACTGGAAACCCTGAGCTATGTAGCAACAGCATTTGTGCTTACCCGGGAAGACAGGCGTACGCACATGTGCACCATTTCCCACATAAGCA